CAATCAAATTGCTTTGACTACATTCACTTACTTGACAGCAGACGAGTTCAAGTAGTCCTAATATTAATCCCTGCAAAATCTCAGAGCATAGTCTTCAAATTGCCAATCGCGGAAATCGTCACTAAACAGGGAAATGTACTCTTCTCGACCTTGCGCATAGTAATGGATATGCCACAGCAGTAGTAGCTACAAACATAACATTGTGATCTCAGCACTCATGTCAAAGTCGGATGTTAATCCGAATACAATTGAAGCCTCCTGCATACCATGTCGGTTAGTCAATCATCATCTGTCAGGCTATTTCATATTCAGTGTGCTACAATACATAAGATGGTCACCAATGCACCTACACATTTGATTACAAAGCCTTGCATAGTTGTGATTTTTATCCTCGATTCCATTTCACATGCCTATTGTATTCTTCTCGAACAGCAATTGTAATTAGCCCTGTTTCTTCTGCATCCTCCTCAGTCTTGGGCAACAAGCAAGCAAGCAAGCAAGCAAAATAGGTGTGGATTTTCTGGAAAGCATAGGGTGAGGAAAAGTTATCAAAAAAGGCAGGATACAAAAGTTAAGTATTGTCCCAATAGCTACTATGTGCCACCATGACATCCGAGTTCTGACTCGATCTGAATTTATACTCTCCATGGTCAAACATGGTATTAACATGGTGTAGGGGAATGCCCAGTTTAAATGCCAGTAGACCCAGGTACACGTCTTCGTGCACGTAATTGTACCGCGTGTACGCCGACCCAATCGCCATGTCGTCCACGATGTCAGCTCCTATTAACTGACTGAATCCACGTGGATAAGCACACATCACATCCCAAGGAATTTCGCGGAATGACAGATACAGCTTACGCAGTGGTGATCGGTTAGCTCCATCGCCGTTAGCTATGCGCCCGAAAATGGATGTCCTCTTTTTGTCTCTTGGAATTGAGGCTAGGAATTTCATCAGCATGGCAACATCCATTCTGTGGTCATCGTCGATTATCATGAAGACGTCGTTATGTACTTTATCACAGAAGGCTGAAATCCAACGTAGGTTGGTCACCGTTTTCCATGTGAGATTGAAGTAAGTGTCCTCGTAGTCAGCCAGCACAATGTCATCGTACCTCCGCATCTCCCTCTCGATGTTCTGCATCACCTCACCACCTCTCCCATTGTATGCATCCATCAGATCACCAAACGGTCCCTCCAGCACTGTCGTATGACCATCGCGGTTGAATATGCGTCCTCCATGCTGTCGTGGTATCCCCAGGCTGAACACGATTCCCAGTTTCGTGTTTGGATTGAGGTCTTTCTGGTGTTGCATAAATGCACGGAACAGTCTCCGTCTCTCCCAAGCCAATATTCCACTTTTAACAACCACCACCAAATCGTACTTGGTACCGTTTGAACAGACTGATTTGCTGGTATTCCGAATGTGAATTGGGAAGTTGTAATTGGGCGTCTAAAATGAGGAAAGAAGGTGACTCATTGGTCTGCGTTAACCTCGGTTCGGCGATGCGCATCGGTAGCTACGTTGTCGAGGCAACTGCCTACTTGTGCACGCTTGACAAGAGAGCATGTGGGGTGTCATGTGGCCGTTTCCATCCTCCTCATCCCCTCTACACTCAGCATATCTAATGCGAAAAACGAGTGTAACTATCACTCGTGCAAACGCATCCTCATTTGCATTCGTTTGAGTCAATTCGATGCAGCGATACGGCCATTGGATTAAAATGGAGGAAACGAATTAAATGCCAAATGTGAAGTGTTAAATTTACCACGGATACAGGTGAACCCGACTTAATTGCCTCGACTACTATCTGGATTGGCACATCCTGTGGGTAGGTGCGATAGACGTTGGGATAAATAGCCTGCTTCCAGACGGATCGGGGACATTCTCCAATCGTCTTGAACGAAACCCACGTTCCATTCGCCTCCACATTGAAAAGACTTTGAATTGGATAGGTAGTAATCGAGTCATTTGCTGACGCATCGGAATGCAGTCGGATGCAGAGTGTAAAGTTGTAAGTGTTGTTTTCAGTTCGAATTTCATCCGGCGTTGCAGGAGGCCATCTGCAATAAAATGGACTCGTGTGT